GCAGAGGTCTAATTGTTGTGTCTTGTGGTGCACAGGACCTGCTAGAATACTTGGGAGGAGGCAAGGACTCAGATGTAGCAGAGTTTTACTTATGGAATTTTAATGTGCAGCTCTGTCAAAAAGAGTGGCCAGAATGAGCCAAATATGTGCATTCCTGTACAATTTGAATGGTCTCTTCATCCCTCTGAATTTGAATTTGCTCTCCCAGTCCACTATGCTGACTCCAGCATGAACCCAAAATGGGTTATTGAGTGTCACAGCCAGGCCACCTCAGAGTTTCGATTTGGGTTGGTTTTCTGAGCTTCCTTCACTTCTCCTTATTCATGTGCAAGCCTACTGTAGTACTTCTTATCAGCTTTGGAAAAGAGCAAATTGGACCCACCTCAGTGAATCCTAAGGAGATTCCCTGGTTTACCCAGCCTCTCCCCATCAGTCAGACAAAGCACCTTCCAGAATGCTGAAAGGCCTGTTGTAGATTTTCCTCTAGTAGGTTGTCGAACACCTGTGCATCTCCTCCAGGCCCTGGAACTGATGTGTCCTGAAAAGGCTAAGAGGATAGATCTTGTTCTCTCATGTTTCTATTACCAAATACTAATAATAATAAATTATGAAGGTGGAATGAAACTTCAGAGTGCATGGGTGTGTTTATGGTATAGATGATGGAGATGCCTTATGGATGTATACTTATCTCCAGACACATTTGATTATATACATTAAATGTGTACCTCTTTTTGAGTGTCAGTCATTGCTCATACCTCAATAAAGGGGTTAAAAGAATTAAAACTAAAAAGACCCTTCCGTGATCACAAATGAGTGTCGCCTCACTCCAAGTGATTTTGGATTTTAGAACTGAGAGGGAAGGAAATTTCTCCTTGGGGAAATGGTTAATGCCATTTACAGCTTCTGTATGATGGTTTTGCCTTGGTTTCTCTATGTATGCATAGTATTTGCATCAGTGGTGTATAAGGTTAACCTTGAGTCCGTAGGATTTTGAATTTCATAGAATCACAGCAGTTCTACAGAAGTCGTCAACTTCATGCGGAGAGCTTTGGCTCAAGGAGTGGCCCTGTGACATCAGCGAGTTGTCACTTGACCAGAAATTGACTTTGAGGTATTGTGCCTTTGGGAATGGCTTGGACTTTGGGTTGTTTTCATTTTGTATCATACGTGCTTTTATGCCTCCTCAAGAAATGTTTAAAAATTTTGTACCCATGGGGGCATGTCAAAGTGCGTGTGTGCTGTATTTGTATTCCACAGGATGGAAGGCACTGTCTCATGCTCATTGGTCTCTCTAGCAGGCCTCCTTTGTCTGAGACCTTCCCACTGCCTTCTGTTTTCTGTGTCACTGAGTTTGCTGGCCGTAGCTTCTTGGTTTCGTAGTCTTTTCAACTTATCCTAATTGAGCCAGGTTTGGGACTAGACCCACGAGAATGAGAGAGAGCCTGCAAAGATTAACTGGTAACCTTTCAGTGCAGATAATATAAAAAGACATACTGTTGGGACTTCCCCAGCAGTCCAGTAGTTAAGACTCCGTGCTTCCAATATAGGGGGGAGTGGGTTCAATCCCTGGTGGGGGAACTAAGATCCCACATGCTGCATGGCATGGCTAAAAAGAAAAAAAAAAAAGGAGGAGATACTGCTGTGTTACCCTGAGCTAGACTAATTTCTGTGTCTTTAAAATGTACTCCTTGCTTAAGTTTCTTGTCCTTTGTTAAATACCTGTGTTCTTCCAATAAAATTCATTTGCTTCAGTATATCTCACTTGTATGTTTTTATTATTCAGAATGAAGACCAGTATGATCAAGGAAGCTATGGCTCTTTCATGTGCATTGTCACCTGAACCAGGGTGGAGCTCTAAGCTCTTTAGTCTGATGCATTAAGAACAGGAGCAGGTGGCAAGGGGATGGGGTCTCCAGGCCTTGGTGAAAGTTCCCCGATCTGTTAAGCTCACCCCTTTGTCTAGGGAACTATTCCCCTTAATGCTAGTCACTCAGTCATGTGGGACTCTGTGTGACCCCAAGGACTGTAGCCCGCCAGGCTCCTCTGTCCATGGGATTCTCCAGGCAAGAATACTGGAGTGGGTTGCCATTCCCTTCTCGAGGGGATCTTCCCACCCCAGGGATCGAACCCTGGCCTCCTGCATTACAGGCAGTTTCTTTACCATCCGAGCCACCTGGGGAGCCCGATCCCCTAAAGGTAGCAGGTAATCTAATGCCTCCCTATGAGAAGTGATCCTTTTAGCCACTTCATGAAAGCCATGAATGCATATTTGGGGATCTTGGAGAAATCTTCTGATACTCCCAAGGGCAAGGAGAGGTATGGTGACCAGCATGGTTTTATAGAAGATTAGCTCAGAAGTCAGTAGGACCGAACTAGAAGCAGCCAGCACACAGTTAATTCCTACTGAAGCCTGCATGACAATCTCGGTCCCTTGTGCCTGAGACATCTTTTATTACACCACACCACCAGGTCTTCTAAAGACTTTGAAATAGTAGAATTACATCAGCTAAGTGGGTAGAATTTTTGGCATTGTTTATTCTTTATAAATATATCAATACACTTTCCAGTTCTAACTGGAATTCGGCATGCAATGAACTAAAGTGGCATGTCTTACGTGTATAGCTTACCATGGTTTAAACATTTCAGCAGGGACTTCCCTGGTGGTCCAGTGGCTGAAACTCCATGCTTTCAATGCAGAGGGCCCAAGTTCGATCCCTGGTTGGGAAACTAGATGCCACATGCCACAACTAAGCCCCAGTGCAGCCAAATTAATTAATATTTTAAAAAAATCCATTTTTCCAGCAAATAGACTTACTGTGGTCAGTAAACCCCGGCCCACCCCCAGAGGAGAGGAAAGTAAGACTGGCAGACTCTTCTACCTATAGATCTTCAGGTTGTCTGGATGCCTTGCTCTTCCTGGCACTTCATAAAGATCTTGGGCTGAAGGTTGCAGCAATTCTGTTCTTACCATTCAGTCTAGAGGGCACCAAGCTTCAGTGTCTCATTTCCTGCCCGAGAGGTTCATCAGGATGCCGAGCTCAGATCACTTCTCTTTTCCTCTAATTGCACCTGGAACTTTATATCCCTTTGATTTTCCTCTCCTGCTACAGAATGAGTCTCACATAAGACTAGAAGCCATCTCCCATTGGCCCTATTTCAGGTCAGTGGGTATGATTTTACCTGAAGCATTTGCATTTAGACTGCCAACACCATGAAATCCCACTGCCAAACACCATGAAATCCCACTGCCATTCTGATCTTCATTGACATGCCAAGCCTCACCGGAATGGCTTTCCACGGAGGCGGGCCAAGGCCAGGGGTGGGCAGGGCCGGGAACTCTACTGTCGCTGCACAGGCCCCGCCCTCAAGAGCAGATGATTTCTAGTGCGCAGGAACACTATGGAGGCGGAGCTAGGGCTGTAGGGGCGGGAGAAGAGGGTTATGGGAGGGGAGGGGCTGATGGCGATAAGGAGGCGGGATCAGAAACGAGGGGCGGGGCCTCGGTTTCCCCAGGCGGGCGGTGGGGGAAGGGCAGGGCCCAGGGGCCAGGGGCCAGGGGCCACGGCAGGAGCCCAGGACTCTGCATCTTGCAGGATGAGGGCGAGGCCCTCTGCACTTGAAGCAGAGGAGTCAGCCAGTTGCCCACCCTCCCTGCCGAGCCCGCCACTCACTTGTCCTTCTGAGTTCCTTGGCTTGCATGAGGAACACATTTGTGAACACATTTGCCTGCTTCTCCATGCATCTCTCAGACAGATTATTGGCACCTACGCTGCAGATGTTGCCTGTGACATGAATGGGAAAGCCCCAAATACTAGCCAGCATAATCCCAAGCAGCGTGTTCAAAGAGTGCACCGTGAGCAGGAAATATAAGGAAGGTTGAATGCTGAGAAAGCTCTTAATTTTCAATTCCAAAACACTAAAAGAAAATAATCATCTGGTCATCTGCGTCAGCTTTGAAAAGATAAAAATGAAGGGTTATCTGATGTTGCCAGAGGCATTTGCCTTTAGTCTATTACCAACACCAGAATATCAAATTACCACTCAGATCATTAAGTTACTTTCTCTGACATCATCATCACATACATGTGCATAATTCACTGTTTACTTAGGGCAATGACACTCCAATTTCTTTCACAAATCATGTGTTAGCTCTTGACCGATAGCTCTTGACCCTATCCTCTCCAAGACTGGCAGTGGGGACAGTAACTGGGAGTTTTCCAGGAGGGTAGAGCAAAGTCCCTGAGTGCTATAAGGGCATATATTAATGTAAACCATACACAAGCTGTCCTCACGACAGCAGGGCAAAGAGGAAGGGGCATCTGGCCTTCTCCAATACACATTCTGCAGGCTGTCCACTGTTTTCTAAATTCTTGCTCCCTGTCAAAGTTGTCTTGCCGGTTCACTCTCACCAGAACAGAACTTTGTTTTGTGTGCATGAGTAGACAGAACTGAGAGGAAAGAAAGCGTCCACACTCTGGGTGGCTCAGGCACTGCTCTCCCATCCCACAGAGGCAGTTCCATGCGTCTTGGCCTCAGAGATCCCCTCTGCTCTATCGTGTGGGCTTGTGATTGGCATCACATACGACTGAATCCTTGTGGTCTGCTGATAAAGATGCTCTTCTTGACCAAACTCTAGCTAGTCTCCTCTGAGCCCTCTTCTCACTTAAGCCTCGAACTTGGTCTATGAAGATGTGATCAAATACTAAAATAGTTTCTAACAGCTCAGAGTCTCCTCCCAAGGATGACCTTAGTCCCCTTCAACATGACTGTCTGCCGCCGCCGGGAGCCCCGCGGCCACGGCTGGCCCCGCGGATCCCGAGGACGGTGCGTCCAGGGCGGAAGAGAAGGGTGGCGAGCACGAGGACGAGAGCAAGGACCCGGAGAAAAGCACAGACGCCGCCCCGGGCCCGGACTCTGTGAACGCATCAGTGGGTGCTGCTACCGGCCCGGCCGGCCTGCCCTCCAGCCCGCTGGCCTTCAACCCCTTCCTGCTGTCCACCATGGCCCCCGGCCTCTTCTACCCGTCCAAGTTTCTACCTCCAGGACTGGGGGGATTGACGCTGCCCGGCTTCCCCGCGCTTGCGGGGCTCCAGGGCGCCGTGGGCGCCGGCGAAGATAAGGCCCCCGACAAAGCCGAGGGGGCCGCCTTTCAGGAAGAGGAGCCCCTCGAGGGCAGCGACGCCGAGGAGAGCCTGGACAAGACGGCTGAGTCCTCCGTCCTGGAAGACGAGATCGCCCAGGGCGAAGAGCTGGACTCCCTCGACGGCGGGGACGAAATGGAAAACAATGAAAATGACGAATAACCAGTACCAGTTTCCAGTTAAAGTGTTTAAAAACTTTTGACAAGTGGTAGTCCTACTGTTTACACTCACAGTTAATGTTCATACATAGTTTTATAAGCTGTTCTGTAACATAGTGTAGCAAAAGAAAGAAAAAAAGTCTCAAGTCATGTTATACAGGTGTGTTGAAAGGTAACTTGGTCATTAAGTATTGTGCAGTGCATTATTTATTATCCCTAGGAGAGATGAAATTTGAGAGGTGATCCTGTCTTTTTAAGGAAACTTACATAATGCTCTGCTTTTTTTTTTTCTTCCCTTGTTCTCTACTTTTTCTTTTGGTACCATTGGTATTATAATAAAGAGCAATTTGTAACCGAGTGGCACTCATGGAAGGAAGTGCTGCTCAAAGGAAGTATGAAGTTATATATTTAATTTTTTAATTTTAATTTTTTTTTTTTTTTGCTGTGAAGGTCAGGATGAAATTTACCATACATATCATACTTGCTCATTTGTTTCCCTTTATGACTGTATGGGGGGTTCCCACACTCACGCATCACACACATCCATACACTCTGACAATCTCCACCTTAGTGTGAACGTCTCTGTCCCGAGGCGCAGCAATAATAAGGCAGCTGTTGAATGTGAAGGGTCCCTTTGGAAATTAACCTACTGGGAGGGTTCTTGCCAGACAGAACTGCAGTTCCATTGTCTCGTGGTCTTGTAATGCACTGGTATAAACAAAATAAATAGATGAAATTAATAAAGAGTGAAAGAAGAGAGAATCAGGTACCTTTTTTAAATTAAAGGACTTTGTTACTTTAGCCACAAAGCTAAAACAGCGTTACCTCAGCTCTAAACTAGCCTTGAAGTTTACAAACATGACTTTGTAAATGTATTGTTTTTCTTTGTTGTGATGTCCTTTTATTTTTTTTCTTTGAAAACTGCTATCATGTAAGATAAAATGTAAATTGCTGCCAACTGTAGTAATGATGCTTTTAATAAAAGTGACCCATGATATGCAAAAAAAAAAAAATAAGACTGCACACTGTCATTACAGATTTTCACTCTTGAAGCCTCGTCTCTGTGACTCCGCTTATGGATGGCGGAAGTGTTCAGGGCTTCTGTCAGGGACATGGGCTGATTGCTTCTGCGTGGTGTTTATCAGAAGCAGAGGTTTATCTTGGTGTACACCACAGCGCATGCGTGCCCCCACCCCCGGCGCAGGCGCCCCCACTCAGGGGCACGCGGCCCCCACCCGGCGCACGAGCTCCCACACCCCTGGCGCACGCGACCACCACCCCCCCCGGCGCTCGCGCCCCCCACCCCCAGCGCACGCACTCCCATGGCGCACGAGTCCCACCTGGCGCACGAGCCCCCGGCTCCCGGCCAACAAGCCCCCCTTCGTTGCCTGCGCCTGCCCCCAGGGCGCACGAGCCCCTCCCTCCCCGGCGCACGCGCCAGGCCCCACGACGCACGCTCCCCCCGGCCAAGGAGACCCCCCCACACGGTGCACACGACGCCCCCCACGGCACATGCGCCCCCCTCCCTAGGTGCACGCGCCCAGCACCCCTGGCGCACGCGCCCGCCCCCAAGGCGCACGAGCTCCCTCAAGGCGCACGCGCCCTCCTCCCCAGGCGCACGCGCCGCCCCCAAGGCGCTCGAGATCCCTCAAGGCGCACATGCCCCCCCCGCAGGCGCAGGCCCAGCCTCCCCAGCGCATGCGCACCGCACTCTGACGCAAGCGCCCCCAGGGCGCACGAGCCCCGCCCCTCGGCGCAGGCGCCCACCCCCGGGGCATGAGCCCCGATGAATCACAAGCCTCGCCCAGCGCACGTGCCCGCCCCGACAGCGCACAGGCCCCTGCCACCAAAGCACACGCCCCGAGGGCGAACTAGCCGCCCCCCACAGCGCACGACCCTCCCCACACTTTGCATGAGGCCCCCCACGGTGCACACGCCTCCCCCCGCCCCATTCGCACAAGCCCAGCCCCCCTGGCCCATGCGCCCGCCCCCACGGCGCAGGAGCGCCCTCATGGCGCACAGGTCCCCATCCCCAGGCGCACGGGCAGCCTCCCCGGGGCACCCGCCCCCACGGCGCATGCCCACCCCTGGTTGCACGCGCCCCTACAGCGAATGCGCACGTCCCTGGTGGACGCGCCCGCCCCCACGGCGTGCGCGCATGACCCCGGAGCACGAGCCC